TAGCTACTAAGGAAAACCGGAGTAATGTTAGTTTATTTATTTTGTTTTAAAATTCTTTCTTAAATTTAAATTTTTCCTTTTTTTCTTATTTTTTTGTAAACCTGTTTGTTCAAAATAATTTAAATTGTGGGCCTTGCTAAAAATATGCTATTAAATTTCACAATGGGCCCCACATTGTATAGTTGACGACAAAAGTTATTTATGGAACTTGGCAAACAATTCATTTTAAGGTGTTGAATAATAATTTATCAAATATAACATTGACTTAGTTAATTAATTTCTCTTTTAAATTAAACAATGCGATTATTCAATATTCAATTTTTTTCAGTTCAGTTTTTTTATATCAAAAAATGGTTATAAGAATATTAAACTCATAAAGGCGATAAAACTTATATTACTCTATACGACCGTAAGACATGAAACTTTCAAAGTGCGATTTTAATAGGAATATTAATTACCTGTTATCGGTAGATACGTCTACAACTACAGATATATAATTGATTTACCGCGGATTAATTAATTTTACGATTTTTCATATGAGTTAAATAGAAACGTCTAATATACATATATTTACATAGAAACGTTTCTTCAATATATGCAAAGATAATGTGTATTTTCGTATCTTTAGATATAATTTCAAGTTAATGAAACTATATAATATATAAAATAGTATATATGCCTTACGTAATTTGTAGACTTATGGTGTTTTAGATTTTAACCAATATACCTTTCGTATAAGTCATTAAAAATAATTTTAAAAAATTTAGATTTATATATATATAGGGACGAATTTATATTTTTATCTGATAAAGATGATCTGCGCGTTTCAAATAAGAATATAAACTTTCTTTTGCGTATATAATAATTATTTGTATAATGAGGCGTGGATGGGATATATATCTTGGAAAAATAAATATATTGACTTACAAAATATGATTTCATCGATAATTGACGTAGGTGTTGAAAGATGGTAATCACAAATTGATAAATTGCTTTTGTGTGCGCAGAAATAATATATACAAACATACTTAAGTTTGATATATATAATATTAACATCAGATGAGTCAATAAATTTTCTTTTCTTTTAAAAAATATTATTTACATATTCGACAAAAAAAAAAAAAATTATTTACACAGTACAATTCACGCCTTTCAAAATTTCGTTGATATAACTAAAAAAAATTACAAATTTTAAATATTAATATAAACGAATATTTCAAAAAGAAATAAACAAAATTTATTGTTTTTAACGAACCGTTATATTTTTCTCTAACAATAGGGGGTCCCTGGGAATTTTTAATAAATTTAAAAAATCTTAATTTTCAAAAAATATGAAATTTAAATTGTATATATCTACTGTTTCTTTTGCTTCGTTTTCTTTTTAACGAAGGATCAGACCAAATGAGCAGATCAAGTCAGCAGGGGAGACTTCTCACCCCCTTTCGTCTTTGCCCTGTGCTGTGTATAGAACTCGAAGCAAGAGCAAGAGAGAGAAAGCACGATCATTATTCTAGCGTGCGATTTGTAAACGGGTTCTATTTATGGGACTGCAAACTTTATAATCAGCCGCCGCAGGGCGACGACTTATTTAGAATAATTAATGCGAAGTACGGCCCTCTCACGCTCTTTCTATACCAATGAAAATGACTCTATCCCCACCAAAATCCCCGCCGAGGGGAAACGAAGGCGGTCCTGGGGAACCTGAGCCGCCCACGATTCTCCCGGTCGCGCGCGACTTGTTATATTCTCTCAATCTGACATACGGTGAGTCTGGCTGGACTCTCAAAAGAATTTTTTTATCCCAGCTTCCTCACGTATAACTATATCCTTTTCAAGTCCTTATGCATATACATACATACACATATATATATATATATATATATTCATCTTTATGGTAGCGTCGTGAAAATTTGTGTTATTCTTTATTTTTGAAAGAGAGATAGAGAGAGAAAGTTGAAGACTAAATTGCCCTATGTGTGTGATGGAGTCTTTGCAAATCAAGGTGTGCGCGGTACTTACAAATAAATAACTTCATTAGCGAATAATTGCACGGGATATGATGTCTTTTATGAATTGAAAAACTCTTTCATGTTGTTTCAATCACAAATGTCTTTTCTGAATTGCAAAAATTAACTTCTAGTTATGTTCCTCCATTTTCTATATTATCCCACTTATTTTACAAAATAACAGCATTTTTTAGATTCGGTTTAATTTTGGAATTTGTCTTTTCTGAACTAAAAATATTAATATAATTAGAGCAATTTCAAAATGTTCAATATTTTAATCAATTTTTAGGCTCTACTTTAAATGTAAATGTGGAAAAAAGAGAACGAACCCATTTTAGGCATAGCTAAAGAGGGTCTGTTTAACCCTACTTTACCCCTAGGAAAGTTGGCCTTAAATTTAAAAATTTATAAAAAATTACATGAAATTAGTAGCACCATCTGCACTGTAAAAAGAAGTATCTATTATTTTAAGAAGTTTTGGTAGCATTTTCAGTGAGCGATACTAGCGCCTTGCGGAGAAACTGTTGCAACTCAGGTGAGAAATGAATTATTACAAATGGCGGACATGTGAGTTAAGTTAAGTTGTGTTCCAGCCAGGCGGACATATGTGAATTTAATAGATCTGCACAAGCGTTTTATGTTTAACAGACGAAAACGGTAAAAATTCTATGGAGTTGCAACATTTTCACATTACAATATAAATATAGGTACTCCAAACGCTAACTATAAGAAAGACGTCAAAAAGAAAAGAAAAATCGTCATTATACTTTCTACGAAAAGTGGAAGCAGATCCTTATTCTACTCCGTGATAACGGCGGCTGTATTAAAAAAACTTGCGCGCATGACTGATATATGCGAGCGTCCAACCTATAATTGAGATTAGGTCAGATGCTTGTTCGCGTAATTCAAATCTCCCTTTCTGACGCACACACAAAAAACTGTACTCAAAAGTATAGTACTGTACTACTCAAAATGAGTAGCGTACACTACTCATTTTGAAGTGCAACAGAAATGATCTGGTTTGACTCATTTTAAGTTTTTAGCGATGTCAAATAAATACTTAGAAAAATATTAAATAAAATAATTATTTTTAATAAACAAACGTATAACCTTAAACATTAATTCTCAAAGTTGATTTACCCAAATTAACGAAATTAAATAATGCAGAATTTTTAGCTTAAGAATATCTTGTTGACGTCACTGACGCCCCCATTAGAAATTCGAAATTAATTAAAAATAATTTATAAATACAACCACTTTGAAATGTTTCCCTGTTCTCTCATATATTTTCCCCAATTATTCATTATCTAGTATGAAACACTTGCTTTTAGCCATACTGAATCCAATACGACGCACTATATCACATTCAACGAATATTTTTACAGTTTATCTATAGGTTCATTTTGAGTAACGTATGAAGTTGTATGTTAACTCATTTTAATGCATCAGATCTCATAATGAGATGCAGCAAAAATGAGTTCATTTTTTTTCTGTATATATAATAAATCTCTTCTATTAATCAAAAATTTATAAGGTAATTTTTTCTTCATGTTTCCAAAAACTATATTCCAATATTCTAAATTATATATATTGAATGATGAACGATCCATTAATTCGAAATTTCAATCTAATTGGAGAAAAGTGTTTAACTGGGGAATGTAAACTAATGAATTAACGAATATAATGTAAACTTAATTCGTTTTCGATATAGATCGCCCCTTAATGGGACATATGTAACGAAATTTGTGGATAATTTTCTAATATATAAAAAATATAGAAACTGTAAGAAATGAAATAAAATGGACATTATGATGAGTAAGACAAGGGACACACCCCAACAGAGGAATATTCTTTATAAGCCGTGATGATTCCCCTAATCGAGTTTATAAACACTCAACAACCACACCCACTCTAACGGAGGGAAAGAGGTATATAGGGAAGGGGGATGGTTCACCCCCAAATGTGTCTCGTATCCAAGCATATATACATATACTGTCGACTCGTGTTCGTGGTTTGTACGCGTATTTATTAGTCTACAAGCTGCACTGAGATAACGTACACCCGGTACACGCGAAGATAACCGCACCCCAGGGAACCCGCTGCTGCTTATAAACCGTTCTAACACGATGGGGAACCGCAAAGCATTCCGTACTGATTTATCGGTGGGGAGGTGATAAACGAGGCGAGTTCATCTCTTTCGGGATTCTCTCTCTCTCTCTCTCTCTCTTTATATATATGCATACATACATATATACTTTATATTTGCATATGTGTGTGGCATCGCAACTCGGCAAGAATAAACTGTCGTCGCGCGTTCCTTATTCGTTTGTACACGCTTTGCTTGTATGCGCGCTAATTAATGGTCTTGTTACGTACGCTCGTTCGGAAAATGTTATTTTTATATGAACTCACTATATGGCTTTTAAAAGAGTTCATAAATGGTATCACATCCCTAATGAATAATTCATATGTATGAATTAGAGGTGGATTCTTTTTTTTCTTCATTTTTTTTTTTTGGAAACCTCAATATATTGATTTCTATCATGCGATTGGGAAACAATTTTTTTGTATATTATAGTTTCAAAATAAACTGATAACTATATGTACTGTACTATTTCTTATGTAATTTTTTAATAATTACAAAATTTATAACTGTACATATGTATATATACTTTCTAAATCCGAGTTATATATAGTCACTTTTGACTATAACTTTCTGTGCACGCCGATTTTTTCATTAAATAAATTAATTACCGTACGGTTTCTAATTTATTTATAATAACTGATTCTTAGTCAAAAATAGCTAATTGGTAGTAGACAACTACTAATTCGATTATTAATTTAGCTTCACTAAATGAATTAGTGTGTAGTATATAGTCACCGGTACATAGGCCAATACTACAAGGTCCTACATATTTTTTTTCTCGAATGACGACACGAAAAGAAAACAAAGTGCAGCTTTGGCAGCCTTTTCCAATAAATTAAAATATTTACCTTAATAACGTACGAATTTTCAGCTTCAAGGAGATGTTCTTTCAAACTAAATAGCCCTCGGAGATCCCTACTTTGAAGTTAAATTTCCATTCAGAAAATGTGAAAAATAACCTTAAAAATAGACCGAGTTCTAAAAAGTCTGCGTAAATTTTTCCCTTATCTTTGAAGTACATATACGCATGACACCACAAGCCATAGAGGATAGAGTCTGCAAGAAGAAAAATTAAAACACTGTCAGCGTTATACTATAACATATATAGTTAAATTTTTAACCGGTCGGTAATATAGAAAGCTATAAAGAATTTCATTTCCAAATTTAACAAAAATAAGTGTGGCATCGAGACTAAACCTAAGGTAATCGAATAACACAAAAATCTTGAAAATATATAACATATGTTACTCGGCGTCGATGTACTAACAAAGATAATTCAAAATATTTAAATTGAATAAAGAAATATGAAAAATTTTTACAATTGCATGATTTGAAAATTTTTTTGGATTTTGTGCATAAAAATAATATATTATATATGTATATATATTTAATCCTCTAGCTATTTTGTAATAACCAGCGGGGTTATGTACCCTTGAATATGTTTCGTTATTTTTTTCTCGCACAGCCTCTAATTATGATTAAGGAACACTATATATATATATATAGGTATATAAAAGCAGATTCGAAATTCCTCAAGTCTGATATCGAATCGTGTAATATAAATCACCTTCATTTTCGAGGCGCAGGAATAGATTATCACTGAATAAGACCCGCAAACCTATCGTTAATGTCAGGTCTTAATGCTCCTCGGAATTATTATGATTAACTGGGTAATACTCGTGATTTACTGTATCTAGATATAATATTCTCTTTTTCTTTTTTATAATCAAAAAATGAAACGTACAATATATCATATGGAAGGAAATTCTAAATTTGAAATAGTGCTTCATTTGTCGCTTTTATTCACATATATATTTATGAATATACATATGTTATATTCATGAATATATATACTATGATTTTATATATAGTTATTAAATTACGAAATTCTTCATTTCCACTGATTTCAAGTTAAATTGCTCAATTTGTTCCGCACAAAATTTCCACATACGCAAACGCAGTTATATACCGCGTGGTATATATATTGTATATTGGATACCATTGGACTTCCATTTTCTATATATTAATTTGTTTTTTAGATATATTTTTATAATTCAAATGTTTATATTTTTGTAATTTTAATATTTTTTAATAGAACACCCAAAAAAAAGTAATCTTATATTCAGAGGATAATTCCTCTTCTAATATCCTCTTCTAATAATGTAATCGTTTGATCCCTTTCCCTGGATATGATAGTTGTGAAGTTGTTTTTTAACCTTTCAATTTTAATATTTCTGGTAAAATGTCAACAAAAAGGACAAAAAAATGGATTTGCTTTATTAAAAATACAGAAAATATAGTTAAATTCAAATTAAATGAATATTTTTAACGCTATTTTTAGATTTAAAAAAATTTGGATATTTCTTGTGAAATTTTACTACCCTATATTTTTGAATCTTTCGAATTTTTTAAATCTTTTTATTTATTTTTTTAAAAAAGTTTTAAAACGTTAAATAATTTCATATATGAAATTTTTTTCTGTCCTATAAAAAATGTTAACTTTTAAACATATCATCATGTTTTAAAATTATTTTTGCGCTGAAAATCTCTTTGATCATTACAACTGATTAATGAAAACTTATTTTTTGTATTTTAATTATCAATATAAAATGTTGATAATTAACCAAAAACATGACATTGTTAATGTTATATTAAAAATCAATTTTTATTATTATATTGAAGTGAACTATTATAATTTTACTTAATTTTAATTTAAAAATGTATTTTCTGCAAAGATTTTATTATTTGATTGAAATTATAAATATTTTATTGATGGCTTTGACATTAAAAACAATTTTACGAGGTTTGGATGTCAACATTTAATTTAAGAGGAAAATCCTCTTAAATGAAGAATAATAATTTTGATACCAAAATTAAGAGGAAAATATGCATTTATTTTAGAGGAATCCTCTAGATTGAAAATTACTTTTTTTAGGGTGAATAATAAAATTTTTATTGCCTCTGGTTTAGACAACACAATTGAAAACGATTCGATAAAAAAATTAATTCATGTAACAATAATAATAAAGACACTGTTTTTTAGAAGAATTAATTTGGATCAGATTGTTTCACATACATATATTTATAAGTAGAAAAAACAATCTTCTTGAATCGATATTTAGGTTAACCTTCGAAAATCTTTTGTTCATTTCGGCGCCGTCGAATAAAATAGTTACACATATTTTCTTAAAGTTTCAGTTTCTTGTATGTATATTTATATGTTAAAGGGCCATTTTTATGTCAACCGATTCGCCTCGGTTGATGGTGCAGGTGCGTCTCTCGGAAGGAACTGTGTGTATGTATATATATATATAGGCATCCCGCACAATTTGGGAAAAGCGTTCGTTTGGAAAACACAATTCGTTCCATTTGGATTGTTATCACCGGAAAGGTGGACACTTTGAAAAGCGCCGATATTTCGTTACGGTTATACTCTTTACCCCTTGAAGAAAACCGATTCTTTTTCTATAACACATAACGAGACTTCCCTACTGGGAGCAGGTACCTTATGTTCATTTATATAGTATATATATATGTCGCTAAGATGACACAAAAAGCAAATGTTTTCTCGAAAAATAAATAAAATGTAAAAAAACATTTGGAAATAGGGATAATGTATATAAATAAATAAATAAATATATATAGAGAGAGAAATGTATTTAAAAACACAAAATGATGAGGTTTTCTATTCATCGTCATACTTCTTCTTCTTCTTCTTCTTCTTATTCTTCATCATTGTCATCCTTTTCTCTCGGCAGAAAAATTATTGACTGTTTACAAATACTATGGAATTATTTTTCTTGTTTAATATATATATCGTCCTTTTCATTTTGTAGAAAAAGAAGAAGAAGAGGATATAAGGTATAAAATTTTGTATAAATTAAAGTTCAATGTAAATATTTATCTCAATAAAAATTCAATTTACACTTTTATTCAATTGGGCTCAAAATAATTATAATTCTGCTTTATAAAATTCGATTAAGTATAGACATATTCGCGGCTTTATAAAATTCGAACGAACTGGAAAATTTTAGTACTCTATAATATTTAAGGGAATATATTATACTTATATTTTGTCTATTATGTTGAGATTGTTTCCTTTATAATTGAAGACAAGACTGTATATATGCTCGTGGGCAAAAATCTTTACATGGGAATTAGATTCGTATATCACAATACCACCTTCGCCAGAGATTAATGAGATCAGGGAGGGAACATGAATTTCATACGCCGACGGCAAATAAGTTCCCTCTGATAATTAATAATGGCTGCCACTCCGCCGTTCTTGCGTGGAGGTTTAACAATACTGATCGCGCGAAAGAACAAGATCGTTTCTTTTGATCTTTATTTTATTATTACTTATTTTTGCGCAAAGAATAGACTAATCGCTCTTACTCTTTATATATATGTTATTGAAGAGAGTGTGCGCGCAGTTAATAAGTTTGTTCAACTCATGGTCAGAAGTTAATTAAAATATAAAATTTACGCATTTTGTACAATTTTTTAAATAAACAATTTCAATTCTATATGTTGTAAAATTTTTGATTTTGTTTCCTTTTGTTTCATAAAGGCTATATTAGGACAAATTCTTTGTAAGAAAAGAATCAAAATTCTTTTTCCAAATGAAGACCTTCAGTATAGGTTGAAAATAACAAGTGAAGCAAGAATTTACGATTCTTGCTGTTCTTTTTTTTATCAATTATCCAAACAAGAGCCACCTGACACTTTGTTAAAAAAGAAAATAGCCTTCGTAAAAGAGAAGGTAATGGGGTGAACGAAAAAGGATATAAGTAATAAAGCAATAAATCAGCAAACATGGTTTCAATTACAGTTTGCAGCTTCCTTTACAAGATACTATGTATAGTAGAGCAGTCAATCTTTCAGCGCAGGGAATTGAAGGTCGAGAACATAAAGGACGATCCTGTGTGTCTCATTGTGCATTGCGGTGAGAGTTTCCATGGGCTCACCAGTTGAAATCAGTCGGGATCCTGGTCAAGGAAGAAGGGTTTGTTTATACTGAGACTTGACGGGGGATCACATTGTTATCGTGGCCCTGTGACCAATTGCACGCCTCCAGAGATGAAACTACCGGAGACGAAAAACATTAAATAAGTCAAAGAGAGAGAAAGAGAGATAAAGTAGTCATCTTTTTCACCGAATAACGATTGCAAAAGTAACTTTTCTTTTAGGAATGAAAATACACATAGCGGATGTGGATCCTGAGATACTGCGAGACAGGTAGCTATATACATATACAGGTATAACAGGTAGACAGAGAGTATGGTCTCATTTTACTGTGAAAGCACAACGAGGATGAGACCTCGGGGACTTTATCCTGTGGAGATAATCTGATTTTCCGTGACTGAGTTGAGACGTCAAAACTTTCTTGACCCGGTTGTCTTTTACTGTATATATGTGTCCGACAACAAATTTACCATGCTGTGAAAAGACGAAGAAAAAAATTGACTTTTCGTATATATATATACACATACAGTATTCAGGATTAGTCTTGGAATTTCATGACTATCAAAAACGGTTTTACATTTTCTAAAGAAATCCATTTAAAATGTACGAAAATATTTTTTCCGTTAAAAATCATATATATTCATAGAATATAAATACGGAAGTGATTAATATTTTCATTTGAAATGAGCAAAAACTCAACTGTGAAATTAGTAAATTTTATAATGATTGATATAGAACCCAGGCAAGATTTATTTTTTTTTCAAATTCGTTTCGGTTTATCTAAAATTTCTATTTCTTTTATATACTAATAAAGAAAAAATTATTATCATCACAGTTAAATAAATATATATAAATTCAGAATTAGCAACATGTGAATATTAAAGATTAAAAATTTGACTTTCCAGAAATTTGAAAAGTGTGAAAAAGTATTTTTCCTAAAAGATTATAGGGAATCCTTATGGAGATAATCTTTTAAAGCTTCGGATTTTTGACAACTTTAGCCGATAATCGCATCGAGCTTGGTGTAAAATTCCAACGCCTTAAAATTTATTTAACCGAAGATTATCTTATACTCAAAAAGTCAAAATTCT